TTGTAATTTGTAATTTGTTTACCCACGGAGCACTAAGGAGTTCATAAGAACTCGTTGAAACGTGTCCGTGCGTTCCAGATCGAATTGGAATTAATTCCGTAACTAATTCTGTAAAATATTCATTTCTAATCGGAGTCAATTGTAAATTAGTACATTTGTTAAATGCCATATTGATTGTAAGCCGTTCTAACTGATTACTGATACAATTACACTTTACAATAGCTCTTATTTCCTCAACACGTTGCGCTTGTATAGGATTTTGAAGTCGTAGCTGGTTTTGAGAAGGAGTTAACGTTACTGCAGAGTTGTACAGAGTGTGTGTTTATGTGTGTAAGAGAGAAACTTAAGGAACAGCACAGTCACTACTGAAGTCTTCAGCAGAGGCAATTAACCCTGAGATTCACGGCAAAAGACGGAGCTACCGGAGTTTTGGAGTTGTTTGCTCATGTAAAAGAGCTGCTGTAAGGAAGTCGTAGGAAAGTGGTGAATCAAGGAAGGACGAGGAACTTTCTTTGTATTACGCGATGTGAACTAAAAAGAAGAACAGTTAACTTGTAATTTGAAGAAAAGAAGTTTTAATATGTAGATAAAGTAATTAGAAAATCGCTTTGTATTTTCTGCTCAATAATTAGGATAATATTGTATTAGTCATTAGAGTTTGAAGAATAATCTCGTTGTGTTTGTTTAGTGGAACGAATATCTAAACATACGCTTAGTTAATTTTAAATTGTAGTGGTTTTGGAGTGTAGTTTTAATAAATGCTGAAGGTATTATATATTTTCGTATTACGTGTTTTCTCGATATTGTTTATGCTTGCTTGCTTGCTTACTTGCTTATTTCGAGCAAACTCGAACTCCATTAACTAGCTTCATCCATTCCTTCCGGTTTCCCATGATGCTCTTCAGTTCAGCAATGCTTAAACCAGTATCATTTCGCAGCTGGTCTACATATGTTGTTGCTGGTCTTCCTCTCTTGCTTTCGCCATGCTTTCGTTCCCAGAGTAGTAGTTCACTTATCACCTCATCCTTTTTTCTCCAACAGTGTCCTATAAACCGCAGCCTCTTGATCATCAGTGTATCTGTAATCTTAGGAAGGTTGCCGTAGAGTTCTTTGTTGGTTTTATGCTTCTTCCAGGAAACTCCAAGAACTGCTCTGAGCATTCTTGTGTACGTACCATCTAGTCTATTCCTCATCTTTCCTGTCATCTTCCAGCTTTCAGCACCATAAAGCATTACACTTTCAACTGTGGCCCGAAAGAAACCTACTTTAAGATGGTTTTTTAGGTTTGATTTCCACACTTTTATCATTTTCTTGAGTGCACTCCAAGCTTGTCCAATTCTTATATTCATGTCCTTTTCACTGGATTGTATCCACGAACTAAGACATTCGAAGTTATCTACTTGCTTCAATTTGCTCCCTCCAAGGGTGTCAAGATCTCCTTTAGGTTGATTGTACAGCATGTATTCCGTTTTCTTGTAGTTATGCAGACCCACTGTTTTCGCAGCAACCTCCAGTCTTAATAAAAGAAGTTGTGCCTCTTCAAGATAGTCAGAAATTAGGGCAAGATCATCCGCGAAATCAGTGTCGGTGATGTATGTTGCTACGTTACGGGAGCTCTGCCGTGGTGTAAGTGTGAACCCAATGTGTTGTTTATACACTGTGAGGATTTACTGTTGTAGCGGATTTCGGCAAATATAGATAAACTCATTCTTCCACTAATATTTAGATTTGGGGTTATTTTGGTCTACAAAATTGGACGTAAAGTTTAGCCGTGTCTTTATCAGATGTCAAGACACTCATTGAACATCAGTTTCTTTTGTTTTTCATTTACGAATTATTCATGAAGTTTTGAATCATAGCGTAGCTCCAAGCGCGCGCAAAACGCGAGCGTAGCCCTATATCTAAGAAAACGTGGTGATCTACCCATCACCTGACCGTACGCCCGTTCGTCCGCACTACAGACATACCAATGTAACCTAATCAACAGGTATGGCAACCTAAATACAACTCCAGGTTTTTTGGCGGGAAATCGCATAGCCACCCGAGTCTTGTGAAGCCCGAGACACCTAAAGAATCAATAAAGACGAAACCGAAAGCTGAAATTGTTTCTGTATCTGTGTTGTCTAAAGTATTAAGCTTAGATTAATTGTCACGTCCACAAATTTGGAATATAGTGAAAGAGAAAGACAGAGAAAAAGAGAAAATAGACAACAGGCAAGCAAAGCTCAACGAGAAAAAGAGCGACGGAGAGCAAGAGCGAGAGATAAGGAGCCATTTTTTTGTTGGAAGAACAACGTGAATTTGTAGCCGCGGTGAGAAAATGAGAAATGCTACCGGCCACCCAGGAAAAAATGAGCGGAATTGAAAAAAAAGTGAACAAAAACTTGTACGACATTTCCTCCATTAAAGTGTAACCAGGACGTTTCTGGACGTTTAACTTTGTTGTCGTGCAAACAACGGCAAATAAATGTACAAGAAAAGTGTGCTGCACGTGCAAAGTTTTTTTTTTTTTTTGCTAATTAGACCTATTATTGTTTTTTCACGGTTCTCGTTGCCTTCGCCACTTAGCATTACTCGATTTTATATTTAGTTTGAGCATACTGAAAATATTATCGAGAGCTTCCCTTTTAGCCCAGGCTAAATCTATATATTATTCAAACACGATGCATTTACAAAAGTTAAAAGGGACGCAGTGTTCTAAACTAAGCATTTGCAAGGGGTACCATTTTTCAATAGAAGGTATACGAAAGGAATTTTTTTTCTGTCAATAATGATATATAAAGGGGGAATGGTTTGGACCTCAGAGCGGGGCCTCACCGTATAAAACTTTATTGAGTACTCCCACCTCTGGGCTCTATCTCTGTCTTTCGATCAACTATTTCTCGGTATAGGAGTAGCTATGAGACCACTGCAGCCAAATACACCCCTTGTAAAGGCGTCTTGTTTAAAGGGGCTATGTCACGCTATGTGCTGCCTTTTTAAAAAGTAAAAACTTGTCTTCGCACCTCTACTGAGTTCCAAAAATAATGGTCCAGTTTTGGGTAAGATTTCCATTTAACCCCATTTTATATACATTAATTATGCATGCAACAATTTCATATTTTTTCTCACAAATAGTAAATATGAATAGAGTCGAAACATGTCATAATAAATGTATGGTGTTATAGTTAGGCATTGGAACGGTTTTCTGTTGTCTATGGCAAGGATAGACAAGTTTTTATTCTAAGCGCTGTCCTTCAGTCGAGCCGCAGCGGTATATGGCGGAATCTGATGATGACCTTGAGATTAGAAAAGACGACTACGAGATTAAGAAATCCTTGTTCGTTACTACATTTGTGAGGCTTTGGGTACAAAGAAATTTCTTCAAAAACCGCACAGCACACTGCAAATTTCTTGACTAGTGCTGTGCGTTTTTTGGGGGTGACTTTACTAATCAAGTAAGTGCAGGCCACAGAACCTGCAGAATCTTGAACAATGACCTTTTCCATTACAACTGCCTTAGGTGGGACAATGTAATATAAATAAAAATCGAGCACCTAGTTGTACTGGGATGACGTTGACACTGCAATTTGATGAATTCTCCTTTCGGATGGGACTTGACTCTGCCGAACATTGATTCCGGTCAACTGATTTCCATTGCAGGAGCCATTATACGGATGTGATTTATTACTATTTGCACTATCTTTCAATGGTAATTTCTCAGTGGCAGTCATAATATACTACTTATTAACCTCGTTCGTTCGGTCATCACAGGGAAATCTCAGACCAAGGCCTTGATGTACATACATCAGGGCCGAGGTCTGAGATTATCCTGTAATGACCAAACGGACGTGATTAATATTAAGTTATTTATTATATGGTCTTTTCATTATTAGTGCCGGATCCAGACCTTGAGATAGGGGAGGGGGGGTACCGGTCATCCAGACCCTTAGATAAGCGGGGGAACGGGCCCCCCGGGCCCCTCCCAGGGCTAAACGATCGCCAGCCCTATACGATCTTGGCTGGTTGCCTGTCAAGGATCTCCTTATACATCGTGACCTCATCATCGATTAGTGCTGTTATCTAACTGAGGATATCGAAAGGTTGGTGGTTCAAGCCCACCCAGGGACGCTTAATTATCTTTAATCTTTGGCGATATATAGTCAAAAAGGGTCTGCTTCCAACTTTCATATAGCAAATATGCGGGTGTCAGTATTTCATGCTGTGAGGAAAAAATAACCAAAATTGAATTGGTAACTGAGATCCAATTTTTGCTTGTGACTGACTGGCTCATACATCAACTAAACGCGGCTTGCGAATTGGATTTTATCACTTACGTTATCATGCCGGTCAATTTTAGCTACTTTTTTTCAGGTAGCACTAGTCGCAAACGCTACCCGCTGAAAAGCTTAAAAAGAGGAACACAAGAGCAGTGTGAATACGTGTTCAGATGGTTTTGGAAGTTTGGAAATCGGACTGCACAGAATAGAGTACTTCAGATTCGAGAACTAGAACGACTTCTAGGAAGAGATTTGACTTGACGTTTTTTCGC